TCTATCCTGGGGGAACTAGCAAATTTCCTTGCTTCAAAATCGTACCCAGTAGTATTATTTTAGCTTTCAATGGTAGCGTCGAGGGCTCTGTTTATATATCCCTTGAGCGCGTTATTAAATTTAAAACGGTCCCCTATAATTCCTACTTCTTACCAGCACATGCTTTTGTTCTCAGGTACCTGTTTTTTTTCTTTTTTTTTTTTTGGCATATATATATATATATATAAAATCGAAAAGCAGTTTTGTCTGGATGAGTTGAATTTTACAATTGATCACTGATAATTTTGTCTCTGTGTCGTAGGTTTACGTGGAGCGATGGCGTTTGCTTTGGCATCCAGAAACACTGCAACTGATAATAGGCAGATTATGGCTACGACGACGGCGGTCATTGTCATATTTACTGTGTTTTTCAACGGCAGCTTAACTTCATGGGTTGTTGACAAACTTCAGATTAAGTAGGTCTTGATCTGTAACAGTATAGAGAAATCAGATATATACAAAATTTGCTTTTTGAAATTTAACACGGCTTTTGAAGGCATGGTGATGAGGCATCGAATGTGAATCTCGAGCCTCTCCAGGTATCTGGTTTTCAACTCTAATTAAAATTATTTGATATGTTATCTTATTCTAAAAAGTTCGAACTACCACTCCCTTGGGGCCAAATTGGTACTGCTTTGGGGGTAACAAATAAGCAATTCATTTCATTCTAAAAAACCGTTTTCAAATTGACGGCTGCCTATCTTAGTTCTTCAGAACCCGCGGCCGAAGGAATTCCATTTTTCATTTCAAGAAAACAGAGAAAACGGTTTCATTTAAATAAAATTGTAAAGCCTGTGAGCTTCTTCAACTCTGAGTTGGAACTCATTTGGTGGGAAGGACAAGAGATTTTGGGGACAAACCATAGCTTATTTAAAAACGGTCTCACAAGCTCAAAATATCTCACATATTATCCAGCCAGCGTTCCTCAAAGTAATGCCAGATGGGCTTTGAGGGAATGTCCAGACTTTTCTGATTAGCAGCAGTTTGTAGAAAATTGAGCTTTTTTAATTTTGAAAAACCGCCAGAAAGACAGCAGTGTCCGTCCAATTTTTTTCGATTTCAAATTGGTTTTTACAGAGCGTCTATTTAAACTGCGACCGAACCTGCCACTGTGCACATTCGTGCTGTAAGGTGTTTTCAGGTTGATGAACAGGCTTCAGAAAGTGCAGTTACTCCAAATAAAACCGGCGCAGGACTCAATCCTTGGGACAAGTCGTTTCTGCCTAGGAAATGGTACAACTTTGATGCAGTGTAAGTCTAGAAATTGAGTAGTATACTTTTTTTTCTGCATTCAACTTTTGGAAGTAATACTGTGAATTGAGGACACCGTCGGACAAACTTGTACACATTTATAATGCTGCAATGCGTTCAATGGAGATCAACTACCCTTAGATTTGCAGGTTTATGAAACCATTTTTGACTCATGCCACTCCATCACTGATGGAGACGCTTCCAGGACTGTGCTTGCCGTTAGCAAAAATCTTTACCTCGCAGAGGCAAAGGAGCACTGTTCGTTTTAGAAACTTTCTATATTTTCACAGGAATTCTGTTTATTAGCTGAAGTATCAAATCTATTTTGAAACAAAAGTGAAGGGTTATTTGTTGAAATTAAAGGGAGTCAGAAAATTTAGCAGCATTTGCTCTTGCTACAGTGATAAACTTAAAAACCTGATGTTAATATTTCAGCTTGATCAGGACGACACAGTATGTTTAACTGAATCGAGTGAAGCCAACAGTGATAATCCATTCACTAGGGTACGAAATTATAGTTCCATAAATTAAACTGATGGGAACCAGTAGGAATATGAAGAGTAGATTCAACGAGAATTTGTTGGGAAACAAATATAGCTTTCTAGACGACATTTTTCTTGTTGTTTGCTTCCAATATTTACAGAAGTACAGAAATTTCTGCTCTTATTGTAGTATAAATTCTTCCGATTACCGTGTTGTGTTGTTAGGAAATGACTTCTCCTTAAATGCCTCTGTCTGGTATTCACAGAATTCTTCCAATTAGCAGATTTTGATCGTATAATTTTTGTAAGTCAGTCAAATGTAGTGGCCGCAATTGCTGTTGCCGTAAATATCAAATGCTTTTTAATGCAGATGACGACGATAACAAATTATGACAAAATGAAGAGACTTTACAAGTAAATTCATTCATTCTGACTAAGGAGTTATTTTATTTCAGCCATTTGATCATCATTAGGAACACTGGAGCTTTAACGGGTCTCGCACTTTGCGGAAGTCCTCGGACGTTTGAGAGGTGGCCAGTATTACTTACGTTATTTAGAAGCACTTTGGAGTTCCAGCTATGCGATATTTTGTAAGTAACCGGATTTCGACAATGCCGAGTTAGCTTTGTGGAGGGAGTTAGACGAAATGCGAACGAAGGCTTAACCTTTGGCAGTCGAAAGCCGCGTTTTTCTGAGTAACGTTTCATTAGTATTTTTGCCACAATCTTCCGTAGATAAAATGCTTTCTCGGAATTTGAGCTAATACTCTTCTTTTTATATAATGTCTAGTCAAACGTTAGATTGTTAAGCCGCTGTGATTTGAAAGTAACTTTTGTTGTGAATATTTATTTTATTACTTCTTGTAGCAGCTTACATCCTCGAGTAAATTAGTCTCAGGTTGCTAAAATACTGGCTAAGAACTTACTGCCGGTCAAGTTAGTTGTCCGAAAATTTGTTGTACTCTGTGTAGGCGGGGGAACATGTTTCCAAAGCCTTTCAAAAAGAATGTTAGTATTTGAAAAGTTCCGTTCAATGGACGTGCTTGACCGATTTGTTAGTATCTTGTTTAATGTTACAGTTGAAGTAATAAACAGTAACCAATTCATATCTCTATAAGTGCCCGTTGCATCTATAACTTCTGGATCTCTAACTGTGGCTTGGAGTTTACCGAGTCAGTGTTAAATTAAATTTAATAAAGAACTTCCCACTGCTTAAAACTCATCCCATCAGATGTATTACTTTTTTCTGATGAAAACTGCTGTGCATAGCAGAGTGCCTGTGTTGCATAACGTTTTTTGGGTTTGCAGTGAAGGACTGGTTTATGTATGGCATACAGGTCGTCGGATTGGGTTTGTTCCAACTGGAGAAAACTTCGTTAAACTTGAGGAATTCGCGAACAGGTTTCCATTTTCACCTGTGTGACCGCCGTACGATTGCTCTAGCAAAGATACTACTAGCCATTTTTTGTAGGAAAGCTGAAATATATTGCGAGTATCAAAAGGTGACTGACGTGGATGCGTCGTTTACGCAGCACCAATTAGGTGAAAGTAATTTTACAGAGTAGGTGGTAATCTAATATGTTTTCATTTTTTATTTCTTAAGGCTCAACTACTTCGTTAAATGCAAGAAATCTGATGAAAAGAATAGTTACAAGTCTGGCCGACTACAACAGTGATTTCTGTCACGTAGAGGGAGCCGTACAAACAATGACTATATCTGATAACAAACAACTAAGGAGAGTTGCAGGTTCGTTTTTCACTCCCGTGATTTATTCTCTCCATTTCTTCTCTTGTTCTTCTAATTCAGCGATACGTCTCTTATGCCTAGCTACTGCATCTTCGTGGGTTTTCTTTTGCTTCTCGTGATGTTCTACCTCCTTTTCTATCTCCTTCCTCAATAAAGCCAGTTGTTCAAGTTGCTGAAATTTAAATGAAAATAGTTGGTCAATAATTAGATTTACTAAGTGCTTCTACAA